ATTGGATGACGAGATTGAACTTATGACTAGTAAAATCACACAGGATAATTATAATCGCACAAACATCTAACACCTTACACAGAATTAATTATTGTCTGTGCATTTTAAAATACTCTGAGCGTCACGGACATGGCTAGCACCAGGATTTATTTCAGTTGCAGGTGTTGAATAGTTTAGTAAGTTTGTGAAATGGCCATGAGTAAATATTCCAAACGTTACGGTAAGAAAGGCAGAAAGTAAATCGGGTGAGAGGCTGTGGGGGGGGCGCGGGCCTGGTCACGCCTGTGTGTCCTGCCGGGCTTGTCTGGTTAAACGTAAGCGAGAACGGCGGACTGAGCAGGGTTGCCAGGGAGACGTGGAAGCGAGAGATGAGACGATGAACATGAATCCCCGTTTAAAGCCTTACAGATGCTGGGAGTAATTCCCATTTCAGGGAAACGTGTAAAAATGACGTAGCCAGTGTCTCTTCTGGTGCTGTTTTGGCTGCCTGGCAAAGATGTGTTTGCATCCAGATACGTATATTTGTAATAATTCCAATAATTCTAATTATTCCAGAAGCAGAAGTTTTTTCAGGCACTCTGGTTGTGTCTATGTATGTACTGATGGATATATTAGTATTAGGCTTATTGTACCAGTTTGTCGTTTGCGAAAGGATGCTTTGTTTCTGAGCGACTGGTGTCTGATGTGTAGCGGGGAGCTGGCTGAGCAGGGCAGCTTCTGCGGCTTGGTGAAGGCTGCGTTTGCTAAGGGGCCCCGCGGCCCCCCGGTCTAGGGCTCCATAGTGCTGCCCTCTGCTGGCCTGCCTCTGCATGTGTCACCCGGGGTATCTGCACACGGCAGAGCATTACGGACCTGCTGAGGCCGCCATCATGGATACGGCTGAGTTTGGACCCGCAGAGTGAAGGGATCCTTAAGTATTTCCTTTTAGAGGACTGTTCTAATCAGGTCTGAAAAGGCCAATCTGGGGATGACGTTATTTTTTTAGAATCCATTCCGACTCTCCATTAACCTTTTCGTAATTACATTTTTGGGCCCATTTCTCTCGGAAGGCCGTCTGTGATTTAAATAATTCCTTCGTCCTTCCCGTCCCGCGCCGAGGCCACAGGAAGAGTTATGGGCCTGTAGCGACTGGCTGTCCGCTCCTCGAGGGCGCACTGCATTGTGGGTAGTGCCCCCCCTCCCCCCCAGAGGTCTGCCTATAGAACCTCCACCCCCCCACTTCTTTGCTTCTCGTCATTATTTTAAACGGTTCTCCACTGTGAGAGAGACTCTGAGACATTCGGGTTGGGGGCGCCGGTGGAGCGAGGCTGAGTTTGGGACTCGCTCAGGGTCTGTGGCTGGCTGTCCTCATGGGGGTGGGGGAGGGAATCAGCAGCCTGGAACATTCATACCAGGATATTTTAAACTTTGTTTAAGCTTTGATGCCTACAGTGCATCATATATAAGAGAATACATTGCATTCCGTGTCTGTCATCAGCAACAGCCCAGTCAGTTTTTCGTTGTTCCTTTGTGGGCCGCGGTGGCAGGTCGTTAACAGCAGGACCGTCATCGCACAGCCTCATCATCGCGCAGGCCTCGTCGTCGCGCAGGCCTCGTCGTCGCGCAGGCCTCGTCGTCGCGCAGGCCTCGTCTTCGCGCAGGCCTCGTCGTCGCGCAGGCCTCGTCTTCGCGCAGGCCTCGTCGTCGCGCAGGCCTCGCCGTCGCACAGGCCTCACCTTACACAGGAACTGCCGGGTGCATTTTCTTGATGACTGGGAGTGTTTGTTTAGCAGTTAAGTTCAGTGTATCGTGCAGGTGGGGGCCGGGGACTTTGTAATGCTAATGCTGCTCATTCGGGTCCCAGAAAGAGGCCTTGAAATGGGAACTTAACCCGAATCGCTCAGGTAAAATATCCTGCTGAATAAATGGATTTAAACTCCCGCTTTAGTTGAAAGCCTTAGCAAAGCAAGTGAATGGAAGTTTGTGGGAAAGAAAAAAAAAACTCACTTAATTTTTTTTCCCTTAGACTTCTGTAGGCCTTTGTAGAAAAGCTTTAGAGTTTTATAGCCAGACGACAATTTGAAGTGGCTTTTGCGAAGTTTTCCTGTGAGGGACTAAGCTAGCCTTTACAGTCGAACAAAACGGCCACACAGTCAGGCGTGAGACATGCTAGCGCCGTCTCTGAATCATGTATCTGTTAGCCACTGGATTTATGCATTGCCTGCTTGGTTTATTTATATTATAAATTTAACGTAATGAGCAGTGATGATAGCTTGCTGAGTTTTACTGCCTTTCCACTCAACAGTCTGCCCACACACAGATTAATTCTGTGAATCGTTGTAGCTTAACTGGCTCGGGTATTAACTAGTGACTAGGGTCTCGTCCCACACAGATGCCTGTGTTAACCCATTGCTTGCTGATAACACTGATGTCATGCTATTTGCCAGGAGCATTGGAGTTGTTTCTGCTCGTTGGTGCGACATTGTCATGAATCAGATGTACAATATGCTTATTTGGGCATGTGTCTCTATTCATTAGGACTACCTGTGATCGGAAGGTTGCTAGTTCAAATCCCCTGGCTGGCAGACTGATATTGCTCTTGCGCCCTTGAGAAAGACCCTTAACTCTAACTGCTCCAGGGACACTGGCCGCCCCTGGTCTCTATCATGTAGCATCTGCTCCATAAATGAATAATAAGCCATGGACAGTAACATCTGAGATCCATCCAGGGAGCAGGGACAGTGTAGCAGCAGATGACACGGACTGAAGGCTGTCTACAGTGTTTTAACCTGAGTTTCAGTGCATCATACAGCTGTGAAAATATGTACAATTCTGCCCGTGGAAGTTTTACTTACATAAAAATGTTCTGAGGGCAGAATGAAAAATGATTGGTTCAGAGAGATAACAAATCAGATTGTGGAGCAGGTGGGTCCAAGCAATTAGAGGCGGGACCAAGATATGTGATCGGTTGGTCCCACCTCCTCTAGTTGCTTGGACCCACCTTCTCTACAATCTGATTGGTTATCTCTCTGGACCAATCTTTTTTTTTGGTCTGCCCTCAGAACAGTTTTGTGTAAGTAAAACTCCCGTGAGCTACTGTTCTACACAGCCACATGCAAATCAAGGGGCCGTGATGTATTTGTATACATCTGGAGGATGCTCTGCCCAGCAATTAGCAACTCTCTGAGTAGCTGTGGGTTTTTCACACTGTCCCCAGTACTTACTGCTGGGCGTCCAAGCGTCCTGGCCGAATTGCTCTCTGCTGTCCTGGCTCACACATTTACCACTTGATACCTCGCCACCCTGACAGTGAGAATTTCGCCTCTCAGAAAGTGGCCATAATGGCAGTGATCCACAACGAAAGGGTCCCGTTTCCAAAAGACCTCAGGATAAAGGTCGATCTTCTCCGGCTGCTGCCAGGCACAGTCGCCGTACTCACGGGCTGCTGGACGCCTGAGAGACGGTTTCACAAAGTGCTCGGTGAGAATATCACCCTGCAGCCGCGTTGCTCTTGTCACTATAACACGCTCTCAACTGCAAGCAGAGATCACTGCCGCCTGCATGCAGATCTGGCATTTTTATAACTAAGACATACTCTTTTTTTCCCACTCGAGCAATATCGTTACTTGAATACAGCAGCTAATTGTGTTTTGATGTTCCGTGCCTCTACCACGTAAATAGAGACACCTTCTCACCGAGGACTACGGAGACCTAAGGCAGTCGTCTTGTTTTGGAAGGGCTCTAGTGAGCAGTACAAGGCTGTGTAACGAGGAAATCTTCTCGGGATGGTGCAGTAGGTCATATTTTGGATGTGCCGCATTTGTCGCTATTCATGTGCTTGAGTTGTATCTGTGTTACTGTGACACCCAATCTGTGGATTCATTTATGAGTGTAAACCCGTTTCTTTGTGGTTGTTTCTGTAAACCCACTTGCACGGCTGTCCTCTTTACCCCACGGATGAGAAATCCCTTAACTCCTCAGCCCACCAATAGAATGTACACTTTCTGTGCAAAACCCATCTCCGTGTTCAGATTAAATCACATTAAGTGACCCAGTGTGTGTTCAGGTGACTGGAGTCACTGGCTTTACTAAACCTTTGAACTGAGAAATGGGAAGGAGGAAATCACTTACTGTAAAAGTACAGGTGGATCTTAAGAGGTACTGTCAGTCCTGCTATAACGCGATTAATGTGCTCCTGAAAAACCTCGCCTTCACTAAAGTCACGTATGGAAGAACACATATCCAGTGCGACAAACAGGGCTAGGGGAATGGTATATTTTATACATATTATTATAGAATAATAATAATAATAATTAATTAGCTGTGTGTTTTTATATGTTAATTTGTCAAATATTTAAAAAATTTTAGTAGCTAAGACTTTGACCTGTGCGGCGTGTGGATGTTTGAAAAGTTCATTTAATTTAGATCTGAAAACCAGCTTGACCAGTTCACTGACAGGAACCAGCTTAAAAGAACGATTCATTCACGAATCGGACATCACTATCGTTCACTTGAGTAGCTGTTTTTCGGTGCGAGCAGTGTTTCTCGCTAAGACCATAACGCTTTGTAGTTTGCGCAGTGCTTTTCTCTGACTGACTGAAAATCATACACATACAAATACAAATGCGATTCTGCGTTGTATTGGACCTGGGTATTAATATATCGATCACGTTAGAACAGATGCGCAGTGTGATGTCATGCGTTGTAGCAGGACTGCCTGTGCAATATACACTACATGCCAACACCAGCCTAGTTAGGTCTGCTTTGCGTGTTTTCACCCAGTACAAGGTGTCAGGTAACAAAGACCCACCTCAGGCAGCTTTTCTGAGACGTTCCCTCAGGCCCACGTCCAGTGAGGGGCGCCAGTGTGGGCAGCACAGCAGATATGGGCTCGGAAGGACAGGGCCGTGTGGCGGAGTCAAGGTGGGGTGCAGTGGCAACAGCCGACCAACGCCTGCTCTCTCCCTGTGTGCGTCTGCGTGTGCGTCTGCGTCTGCGTGTGCCTGTGCGTCTGCGAGCAGGGAGTTCGGCTGGAGGGACCCGGAGCTGCCGGAGGTGATCCAGATGCTGCAGCACCAGTTCCCCTCGGTCCAGTCCAACGCCGCCGCTTACCTGCAGCACCTGTGCTTCGGGGACAACAAGATCAAGTCGGAGGTACAGTGACACCCAGCCGTCCGCAGCCGCTCGTTAGCAGCTCTTTCACTGCAGATAATCCAGTGGCCTGGCTGCTGTATAGTAGTACTGGTGCTCTCACAAAGCATTCTCGGCGACACTGGCGGGTTTGCTAAACCAAAGCCAGAAGCTGCCGTCCCCGTGATTTTAATCCGAGGCAGACCAAGCGCAAGGGGAGGCGTGGAGCGATACCCGCGCTGCCAGTGCCCGCCTCGCCCCTGCCAGAACACCGCCTTCGGGAAGACAATGGCGAGGAGGCGAGGGGATGTACAGTCCCACTGCATGACGGGATGGGCAGTGTCTGAGCGCAGTGCGTACTGCTCCTTACTGGACACAGCGCTGGATGGGGCCTTTGGCGCCGTGTGCTGTTCTCGTCATGCCACTGAATCAAAGTTGGGCGTGTTACATCCTGGAGAGATAGACAGCAAGCTGGCATGAGCCACCAGCTTGGCACCCCATTCCTTACGAGTATCGATGAGCTGATGCCACCGGGGGGCGCTCTTATCACCGCTGGCACAGGTTGTCACGGATGTTTAGAGGCGTTCTGTGATGAAGGATGGTGAGTAATCTGGATGCGAGAGGAGGGGGCGGGGCAAGCAGCATGTCGAGTCCGTGATCCAATAGAGATGCCAGATTCAGCCCAAAGGGGGTGGGAAGTAGCTTGCCAGGACCTATGAGAGACTGCCCCTCTGATGATGAGTACGTCCAGGCTTCACCCTTCTGATGGAGCACAGATGCTGGCTTATTTACCGGATGAGGCCAGCGATGATGGCGACATGATGGTTTGGGTGCAATACATAATATAATAATACACAGACGCTCCTCTACTTATGAACTTTCAATTTACGAACTTTCAGACATACGAACGAAGAGGACTATAAGTCCAACTTGTGTTCATTGGGCTCCCGTTTCCTGTCCGCAACATCAATTTATTTTTCTGCGCGCCAATTCCGCCTAGTATGACTTCTGGGCGCTACTCCCGCCGCGCAGCAGCGTAGCATCCTAGTTCTTCGTAGTTGCGTATACCCTTAAAATGATGTTGAATAATGACTTACGAACATTTCAAGTTACGAACGGCTGTTCGGAACATATCTCATTTGTGAGTAGCATCTATATTATAAATAACCTCTAATAAATATCTACTGAAATATTAATTCATAATTAACATGTAAGATAAGCTTATGTTAATAGTAATTAAGAAATATTAACTGTGAAATTATGCCCGCATTTATTTTATATCCACTGGTGTTTTAGATTTGATTTACTTACGGAAATATAATTTTGAAGCATACATACTTTTATATTAAATATTAGTATTGAATATGGCCAACATACAGCGTATGAGGCAGATAGAGATATAATTTTGATTTGATGTTAAATATTGATAGCCTTTGAATTAGATTAGCGAGCCTTGATAACCTGGCTCTCGGCCGCTATAAATATTAACCACTTCCACGCATGCTGTTTTGGCAACCGGCAAATCCCTTTAAATAATTTAGGCTTATATGTCTGGGGCTGTTTTTTTTTGTATGTGCTTTTGTGTTCAGGTTGTGTCAGTTGTATTGCTGGTTTATCTCGTCGTTAGCGGCAGCTAAACGCATAGTAGCGGTAGTCGTGGGCGGGAAGAAATTGAAATGTGCTTCTTATCTAAACCCTCGTTTGTTTCGCATTGTGAGGGTCTGTGCGTCAATGTCTGACAGGCTTAAATTCCAAACATTACAGTATGCTGACAATCGGCACCATGAAGAAGGATCGACAGCAGAGTTAGCCAGTGGCTGTCTGTGGCCCTGATTGGTTGGCGCCCATTGTTTGGTGTCAGCATTAAAAAAGAGCGCTTTGGGGCTGAATCGGGCCGTCCACAGCACACTGCTTAAAAAGGCTTCTTCTATTTCTGGCCCCGGCAATCAAAACGTGAAAACAAAAGAAATTCACATATGCGTAAGTCTCCAGTCACAAGCACAGGTGGCACCGCCAAACGGATTACTTAATGCGTTCATTTCCGTAAACAAAGTATAAATGTTTATTGCAATTAGGAGAGAAGAGATTTCTCACCTCACAAGCTGACAAGCGCCATCTGTTCTCGCGTTCTTCTGCTCTGACAGCTGTTTCCTCGTTCGGCGCCCTGTTGGCCATAGGTCAGCGTCAGCGCTGCAATATTCGGAAATTAGTATCCGTCTGTCCATTTTCGTTAACAAAATAATTGGGCCTGAACGATGTGATATATGAAAATTATGGTTTGGACGTTGACTGGCGTTGGCAGCCATTCAGTCAAATCCTCCTCCCCCGCTCTCCCACCCCCAGGGGCCAGTCTACTGCTTCTGGGGTTCCATTAAAAAAAGTCACTTTGTGGCCATCCCTACTGTACTCACTGTTTGTGGCCAATGGGGGGAGGGCACACCTTGGGGCCCCACACAAATTCAAGGTTTGAGTAGTTGAGTAGTAAATACCACCGATGGTCACCCCACTACTACTACTACTACAATAATAATTATTATAACAATAATAATAATAACAATAATATAATACATTTCTAAAGCCCCTTTTAAAGCCCAAAGATGCCGTTACATCGTTACATCGATGTGATGGTTGTGGAAAACACCGGAAATAGACATGGAGTCTCCGGCTTTGACCCCATCCCACGGACCACATAATTCATGCATGGGAGAGGAACACTGCAGCTGTTCTGCATCCCCATGCAGAACAGCCATTTTAAAACAGCTAACCAACCCATGTGCTAATCAGCCTCAGTGTTCGCACACCCCTAGTCATCGAGCTCGCACTCTCAGTGTCTGCCGTCTCCAGTAGTGGGCGCCCAACCACTGCTCAGTAATTGCCATTGGCTTGGCGTCACCAAGCAACTGTTAGACCCTTTGCTGCCTTCTGATTGGTTACTCACATCTCAGCCACAATGCAGTTATCTTAGGGATTTCATTATGATACAGTATATCGCCGACACTAATGCAGCTGCTAAAAAGGTGCAGGACGGGGGTATGAAAGAGGAGTGTTTCTTTGGCCCAGGCTTTTAGGCAGATTCTGAGAGTTATCAGCTCCGCCCTCAGACAGTCATCCGTCCTTCTGATTGGCAGCTGGGGCTCTTACTGCCTGTGAGTTATCAGCTCTGCCCTCAGACAGTCATCCGTCCTTCTGATTGGCAGCCGGGGCTCTTACTGCCTGTGAGTTATCAGCTCCGCCCTCAGACAGTCATCCGTCCCTCTGATTGGCAGCTGGGGCTCTTACTGCCTGTGAGTTATCAGCCCCGCCCTCAGACAGTTATCTGTCTCTCTGATTGGCAGCCGGGGCTCTTACTGCCTGTGAGTTATCAGCCCCGCCCTCAGACAGTTATCTGTCTCTCTGATTGGCAGCCAGGGCTCTTGCTGCCTGTGAGTTATCAGCCCCGCCCTTTGACACAAGATCTCTTACTGCCTGCCTGCTTCATCTTGGGCCGGCTGATCTGCCTCGAATATGGCATGCACGGTTGCCCACCAGACGATCGATTGGCTTCAGGCCTTTTCTCAATTCTGTACGGCCTGTTGAGGCCGTTTTCTTCCCCGCCAAACCTTAGGTGAACTTTTATCAGTCTTGCTGGTTTCCTCCGCTGCTGCATCTCACAGCGTTGTTGTTTTCTTGTGAGGTAACACACATCTGTGTACCTCTGTAAGACAGAAAGCGCTCACATCGCTCAGGTGCACCTCGGCATCGCTGTGCCGGCCCCTGACCCCTCCGCTGCCCCTAGATCCGGCGCCAGGGGGGCATCCAGCTGCTGGTGGACCTGCTGGACCACCGGATGAGCGAGGTGCACCGGAGCGCCTGCGGTGCGCTGCGCAACCTCGTCTACGGCAAGGCCAACGACGACAACAAGATCGCCCTGAAGAACTGCGGCGGCATCCCTGCGCTGGTGCGGCTCTTACGCAAGACGACGGACGTGGAGATCCGCGAGCTGCTCACAGGTAGGCATGGGGGAGGCGGGGGCCGCGGGGGCAGATCAGCGAAATGAAAGCTAGACGCTACAGCAAACCTACGTCAGGGGCTAACTGGCATGTTAGCGTCCGGCTAGCTAATTAGCAGACATCCCACCTCTCCAGGAAGTTCCGGGATCCTCCCATAAATTGACAGCAGTTCCTTGACACCTGCAAATGATGCGCAATGTCTTGGAAATCTGTCAGTCTGTTATTCAGCAGTGGTAAAATTAACCAGCAAGAAATTGTACGGCTGCAATCCTGCCTCAACTGGTCGCACAACGTTAGCACCACGTGGTCGCACAACGTTAGCACCACGTGGTCGCACAACCCTGCCCCACCTGGTCGCACAACGTTAGCACCACCTGCTTGCACTAGGCTTGGGCGGCATCTAATTTTCAGTACCGTAATGCTGTCCAGACATTATACTGCGGTATACGTTATTTTGACGGCATTTTAAAAAGCAGCGCTATTTTGGTATTTCCTGATGAAATTTAGGAGATTGGTTGGGGGGAGTTTGAACAAAAATACCTCATTATACACAAAATACCAAAAATACCATGGTATTATCATAATTCTGCATAAGCCTAGGCAGTACCCCACAGCCCCCAGTTGTCCCTCATCCACCTCCCTGAAATCAGTATCCCTAACGCGGGATGTCTTAATTAGTGCCTGGCTAGCCAATTAGCATCTGGCTACATTCGGAAGATAGAGCATAAGCTGATATCTAAGATGGCGGTTCATCCATCGGAAATCATCCCCCACTCGTCACATTGTGTTTTTCTCATGCTGATGCTGCCCGTCTCTCCACCGAGGGACACTCGTTTGTGACAGCGTTTAGCGCTGGCAGTGACAGCGTTCAGCGGTGGCAGTCATCTGTTACCTCGAGCCATCACCGACGCCACTCCATTTATCCCGCTCGAATCCTGGCCCCCCCCGGGGTGTTTCGCCGCGCGCGCGGACCAGTACGCATCTCTGAACTCCGCGTCGTGCTTTTGCCGTGGATTATGAAGTGATCCTCGTTGAAGAGAGGATTAAATTTGGACAGCATTCAGCGTTTGGAAGCGTACAGCGAAAAAAGCTAATTGTTCTGCATAGGAGGATTAGTGCACGGGGAGAATCCCTGCCGGGAGAGACAGCTCATTCTCACAAGTCATCTGTCAGCGCCATCATCTGGACATTGTTATTTCAGCTTTATGCATTCAGCTCTCTTCTTTATTTCTTTTTCCAGAGATTCTTTATATTGAGATTTGCTCCCCATTAATGCCGTGACATTTTTTGTCTCGCCTGTGAATTCTGTGTTTCATAAAGATTTTCTGTATGAGTATTTATCGCTGCTTTTTAGTTTAGTGCATGATTTAAAACCAGGAAGGGCAACAGATATACGACGCTGCTCCATGAGAGATTAAATAGATATAATCAGCAAACGCTCCAAAGCAGCGTTTCCCAGTCCAGTGCTCAGGGATCCCCAGTACTCCACATTTTTGCTCCCTTCCAGCTTACAGTGCAGCCTTGCTAGGTGTTTGGTGTTGATTGGCTGGGAGCTGGGAGGGAGCAAAAATGTGGACTGTCCAACGACTGGGTTGGTAAGTACTGCACCAAAGCACCTTAAACGAAGAGAAATGGGAATTATTCTGTAAAATAGAATAAAAAGCCTTGTTTCAAAGGCAGGGGAACGCTGGGGCCCCAGAGGTTTGTCAGGCAGTGTGATATGAATCACTATCCTTGTCAGACAGGATTTCCATTGATTTATTTTTCTATTTTTGCTAATTAAATGGAGTCCATTCGTTCAGACTGCCACGCTTCCACTGCGAAATGAGGCCGTGTGAAGTGGCACTGGAGTGACTGCGACGGCCGTGACGCTCCAGCCGCTCAGTGGAGTCTGAATGGATGTGGCATTCCTTATGTCAGTTATCGCGCTGCAGAGGTCGCTCGCACTCCCTGTGAGGGGTGCGTACGCTGTGTCGGGGCTGTACCGCGTTTACGGCGCTGTCCAGTCGGCGGGTGATGGGCGGAGAGCCAGCCATGGGTCTGTTTGATGGAGACACTCGACGGCTGAGATACTGGGCAAATAGACTGAGCTCATGCATCCTGTGAGAAGATTAACATTTATATTAAAAATCAGTGTGAGTGAAGCAGCTTTGAATGTTTTTGCTGAAAATTCCCCGGCACTGTGACCCTAGACTCTGTGGCCTATAGACGTCCATCTTCTCGGTCTGATATAAAGATGTGATCGCAGTCAGAGCCGTTTGGACGCGTGACTCTTCCTGACGACATCACCCATGTGCCTTTGACTAAGGGGTACAGTACCTGGAAAAACCTCCACTGCCGGAGGGCTCGGATCGGCCA